TGGCTTGGAGGCATGGCTTTTGCTGCCCGCCCCCTGCCCTGACTGAATCCCAGCTTCAGTGAACATTGAATTACTGCATGAGCCTTGGCAAGTTAGACTTACTTTGATAAAAGTTCAGTGTCCTTATTGGACTGTGGTCTCTACTGCATTTTTATAAGGGTTAAATGAGATATAAAGTACTTGGAGTACACACTATGGCACCTAGTAATATGCTGTAAGAAGCCAAGCACTGGGCCTCCCTGGTGGTGCAAGGGGTTAAGCACCGCACTATGAAGCAATCCGCGGCCTTTACAGCATGAGTTCGATCCCCAGCCAGCCAGAGAGCACACCACATGGCGAAGCAGACCTCTCCTGTCTCTCCTGCTGCTCCCCTCAGCAGTGTATTTCAGTCACTCTGCCTGTCTATGGTGAATCCTCTCACCCCCCGTACCTTTGGCCTGTACCCCAGCTCTTGCATGCATAAATAAATAAATCTTTAAAAAAAAAAAAAGCCAAGCACTGCTGTGTGCAGACTCGGGCCCACATGGCTGCTCTGCCTGCCTGCCAGGGTCAACACAGAAGCCGCCATTGCCAAAGGCCCTGCTGCAGGTCATCACCTGCTTCCTCCTCGCTTCGAGCAGCCTTCCTTGCATGAAAGACTTGCTTTTCCTAAGGAGACTGGCTTTCTGTGATGGTGCTTTTACCCTGGGACTCAGGAATACATCTTTTTTGGGGGGAATGGAAGAGACTTTCCTGGAGGAGCACCTGAGGAAGACAATTTCAAGCAGAATCATTCTTCCTTTTCAACTCTGGCCTCTGGTCTTTGAGTCAAATTTGTGATTCCCTTTTGTCTTTACCCCAGCATTTCACATCTCTGGCACCACATCTTTTCCCTAATGTTTTCTCCCTTCATATAATCCCCTACTCTGACTTTAAGAAGTAAATGCGATGTTTTTCAATGCATAATTTATCCCCTGCAGGCTAATATGGTTGTGAACAGCAAGAACAAATCTTATTAAAGTTGCTAAGAGAAATGAAATAACTCATTTTGATAGAAGTTAATAGAAGTGTGCTTAATTCATATTTACACCTTCTCAACTGCTCTTTGCGTGTATTTAGCATTCTTTCCGGGGGAAATTATGATCGGGGCCACAGCAGTAGCTGTCTTGGCTCCTCTAGAGAACTCTATCATCATCTTGAGCAGGATAATTACTCTGTTTGGCATTTCCCCATCCCTCCCTGTGTTGGAAGCATGTATCTACAACAGGGAAGAGTATGCAAATATAATTATAGCATATAATTTTTATTAAGCCCCCGCTTTACACTGAAAAAAAAAAAATCCATAGTTCTGTGAATGGCTTGAAAACCAATAACGAATTGGACTTTTGGTGGTGAACTTTGTAGTATATACAAATGTGATTCTCAGCAAGGCACAGCCAAAGCTCATATAATGTTATAATGCTATGCTACCTCTGTTAAAATACAAAGAAATTAAAAATAAAAATGTTTTTTACTAATGGCTAGACCTGAGAAGGAGCTGTTTTTGTCATTGTGGTTGCAGGGTAAGTTATTGGTCTCAAATATTGTGTCAACATCAAAGGTTTTCTCCTGAGTACTCCTAGTTACACGGTAATTGGAGGAGGCTGTTGACAATCAGCTTGCCTTAGCTTTCTCCTTCTCTGCAGATCGAATGGTGGGACTGACAGAGGTCTTCATCTCTGGGACCAGTAGGCTCAGCGTCTTACCTTGTTGATGAGGGTCTGGTCGTGGTGAGGGTCTGATCTTCAGTGTTCAGGGGTTATGGAGGTTTGGAAAGTTGCTTTTCTATGAAAGGAAATGATTATAGCAACAGGTGACACCCCATGAGTACAGGGAAAAGAACTGAAGGATAAACTTTATGGGACAAAAATAATGCCAAGCGCATCATAGAAAAGGTGCATTAATCATAAAAATGTGTATATTGAAGGGACAATGGATTTATCTTCAGTAAGACAGACCTGTATTTGCTGACAGACATTGATCAAGCAGTGGTATGTGTTATTTTACCAAATGGGAGCAAAAAAAAGATTTATTAACTTCTGTTTTGCTTAGAATAGGTTTCCTACGTATCGTTAGTTACTTTATCATGAATAACATGTCGTGTCATCTTGGTACTTATTAATCACTCCTTCCTTCAAGCCAACGGTAAGAATAATTAGATGAAATTGGTGGCAGACCATCGCTTCCACATTCATCTTCTTAAGCTGGTGTCAGAATCATTCACATGCTAACATCCACTCTTCAGTGATGTCTCTAAAGAAAGTTAGAAATGTTGGTGTATGGAACGCAGACCCCTTTCTTGTAGCAAACAAAGACATAAATGGGAAGACTAGTGGCATCTATGGCAAGAAATCAAGTGGTTCTTCTCAGCAGCAGGTAAAATGTGTTGACGGAGTAGTTTCCCAGCCAGGTGCAGTGCTGGTGTTTCTGTAAACTTTGAAGATGATTGGTCCACCACGGGGCTCCTGGCCACTCCACTAGAGGTCCTCATGCTGAGAATCAGGCTGTTGGAGCCTCTGCTATCTGGACCGTCACTGGTCACAGGGGCAGAGGGAACAATAGGATAATGGGGCCCTCGCTGGCCCTTAAAACCTCTGCCCAAACTGGCCGTTTAATTGGCTAAAGCATGTCTCATGATGGTCTCCGATTACCAGTGGGCGGGGAAGAGCCATCTTGTTGTATATGTGGGGGAGGGTAGTGGGAAATTTATGCACATTCATAATGACTAACTCACTGGTTCTTGGAAAACAGCAATAACAGAGCTCTGATGAGTCTGGTTGGCAGAAAGAGGCAATGTACAGTGAAAACAGTAATGTAAATAGGATCAGATAAGGCTTGTGAAGGTGTGAGAGAGTGCTATATATGCGCTTTTTGATTTGTTTGAAAACTAGGACATTATAGATGATTTTCTGGGGAAATGGAGGTGACCAAAATGAGGTCAAAATGTAGATCCCTGAGTAGCATATGTTTTTCAAAAATATTCAAAGAGCTACCGGTAAAAAGAAATATACCAAGTCCTATTGTTTTTATTAGTGAGTTCTACCAAATCCCCTAGAAACAGATATTATAGGCACAATCAGTATTTATGGGATAAAATAGATGAACAAGATCATCATGAAATTGCTATTAAGATAGATGTGGATGTCACTATAGGTTGATAATTGTTGCAGCAATCCTAAAGCAATGTGCTAACACAACCTCATAAGAATAAATGTGTCTCTTCTCCTTCAAGTCTACTATGTCACCTTCTGAAGGAGGCATGCCTGCTTGCCTTGTTTAAAGTTGCAGCCTTCCCCTGCAGTGCTCCAAACCACCCTCTCCTGCCTTCTCCCACAGCATGTCACCTTCTAACAGATCATATAATTATTTATCATCTCTGTTGTTTATTGTCTTCTCTGCCACAAGGTAAACTCCACAAGGGCAAGGGCATTCGTCTGTTTTGTTCCCTGATAGAAGCCAAATAGCTAGAACAGTTGGCATTTAGGAAATAATTTGTTGAAGAAATGAATTAATTCTAAATGCAGCATGGGATCCTGGATTTCATCATGGAACAGAAAGAGACATTAGTGGAAATTAGGAATTCGAATAAAGTTAGTAGTTCAGCTATTGGTATTATATAGTGTTAATTGACAAGTGATAAATGAGCCTTGGTGTTAGGTGAGATTTTAACACAAGGGAAAGCTGGATGAGGGTATATTAAAACTCTATACTTTCTAGCAAACTTCCTATAAATCTCATTTTAAAAGAAAATTTTATTACAAATAATTTAGTCTGAAGAATAATATGCTCCAGCTTTTAAAAAATGAAATTAAATTTGTGCTAAAATGATACTTTCTTAATGAGTTCCATCCCAATCACACAATTTAAAATTTTATATAGCACCCCCACCCCCAGCCCATTGAATTCCTAATCTACTCTTTCACCATAGCAATTGTTATCTTCTAATACATTATACAGTTTACTTACTTATTTCTGTTGTTTGTTCTCTATTGTGTCTGTTTATTTGTATTCAAGGACAGGGATCTTTGTTTTCTGTAATATGCGTCAAGTGCCCAGGACAGTGCCTGGCACTTAATTACTATTCATTAATTATGAGTTGGGTGGATTAATAAGTATAATATAATTTATGTTTTTTAAAAAATCAGCAACCTATAGATGTGTGTGTATGTGAAAATAAGAAAAATCTGGATGGAGCCAACTAAACTGATCTGCATGTTACTGTTTAGGATGGGCTAGTTATTAACGCAATGGTCCAAGGGCAAGGCCATGACCAGCATGAGGTGAGCTGGGTCACTGGCACAGAAATGAGGGGCAGAGCCTCCTTTCTTTAGGTACCGATGCATCTGGCTTGCCTTTCCTAGTCCCAAAGTTTCAAGATTTTCTTATTGTTTTTACATAATTTGAAATTTTACAATTTTAGTCTTTAAAAAATTCAGAGGAATGAAAAACCTAAAGCAACAAACCTAAAGCAAGTTATTAGTAAGATCCTTTAAAAATTACTAGGAAATCATCTTGTTTGTCTTAAACATGAGAAAGAGTGAGCATTAAGCATTTTCCATTCTCTTTGGGGCCAGAGTTACTTCTGCTTTATGATGTCAAGTTTGGAGAAAGCAAAAGTCACACTTTTAGGTCCCAAGTGTAGTTTATTACACTGAAGCAGAGATGCAGGAAGTCATATCTACAACAACTGTCTATGTACAATATTAAAGTAGGATAATTTTAGTACCCATTTGCTCTTGAAACAGCAGAAATAATTCTTTAAGGTGTGTGTGTGTGTGTGTGTGTGTGTAAACGAACTCACTTCCAAATGTGGACTCTGGGGAGGGCGATAACAAAGAAGGATCTGCTTCATTACATTGCAAAAAGATAGTCCTTTTGCCATTTGCAAAAAGTGAGGGAATGGAGGTCATTTGATCATTTGTCTTTATCATGATGTAATTGTATCTCTATATAGTTACAATGGAAATTATGATCTATTCCAGGCACATCGGGAGAACATTCTGGGTAACACCATGCAAAGTGTGATTGCATTGCTCAATAATCTGGTTGCCTGCAAAGACTCGAATATGAAGCTACTTTATGAACAAGGTAAATGTTTTTTAGAATTAAATCTTTGATTCCATTGAATGTTTGCCTTTTTGTAAATCTCATCTTACATAGTAAAGAGTCAAGAAGTACTAGTTAAAGTTGATCAATTGAAATAGAAGTCTAAGGATCTATAAATAATATTCCCAGCAAAAATCGAAGTGTGTTTAGATCATAATAGTTTCTTTAAGTTAATTCATTCTCTTTCATGGCACAAAATCAGTATCTACTACTTAAAGATGATAAACCAAGAAGTAGATGTTTAAGCATGGTATTTAGACTTATCACTGCCAATCAAAAGAAAAACAAACATGGTCAAAAGCATCTTGGAAAATGAGAGTAGATGGGTTGATTGTGACTTTATATTTTACACATTTCTGAAATACTATAATTTTTGAGATTACATTTTAGAACAGTTTCGGATTTCAAACAAAATTGAGAGAGCTACAGAGATTTTCCATATAACCTCTGCCACACACACATTTAACCCCCCTTGTTGTCAACATTGCTCACCAAAATGGACATTTTTAACCAAAGGGGAACCAAAGTCTACACAGTTCACTGCAGGGTAAACAAAGGTCTACTTCCTTCATTCGTTGTGTTAAACATTCTGGGTCTAAACAAATGTATAGTGACTTCCATCCATCATTACAGTACCATACAGAGTATTTTCACTGCCCTAAAATTCCTCTGCACTTTTGCTATTTAATGCCCACGCCCTACGCATCCACACCTGCCTGAGAACTGCTGAAGTTTTCACTGTCTTCCTGATTTTGCTCTTTCCAGAATGTCTTACAGTCGGAATCATGTGGTATGTTGCCTTCTAAGATTGGCGTTTCTTACTTCCTCTCTTTTCATACCTCTTTTCTTTTTAGCACTTAATAATAATATACTGTCCGAGTGTCCTAGTTTATCCATTCACCTACTGGAGTACATCTTGGTTATTTCCAAGTTTTGGCAACTGAATAGATCCATTGCGAACATCCAGGTTTGCATGCGCATAAATATTTGAACTCTTTTTGGGTAAATACTGAGGAATTTGATTGCTACTCTTGCTAATTGTTTAGTTATGTAAGAGATAACCACACTGTCTTCCAAAGTGGCAGTACCATTTTGCATTTCCACCAGTCAAATATGAGAGTTTCTGTTGCTCAACATCCTCACCAGCATTTGGTATTGTCAGGTGTTTGAATTTTGGTAATTCTAGTAAGTGTGAGGCGATGTCTAATTGTTTTAATTTGCATTTCCCCCATGACATGTGACATGCATGATTTTCTCATTGCTTGTCTGCCATCTGTATATCTTCCCTGTTGATTGTCTCTCAAGGTTTTTGGCCCATTTCTTAAATGGGTTCTTAAAATGGGTTCTTGTTTTCTTATAGTTGAGTTTTAAGAGTTCTTTGTATATTCAGATATTTTATCAAATGTGTATTTTGCAAATATTTTCTTCTAGTCTGTGGCTTGTTTTCTAATTCTCCCGGTCTTCTCCTTTGCAAAAACAAGTTTTAATTTTTTTTAATTTTTAAATTTTTAAATTTTTTACATCATTGTTCATTTTTAAACAATATTTGCTTCCCCCCACCCCCTCAGGTGTAGTCCCCATAGAGTTTCCTTCCTCAAGGCACCCGTGCACCATCACCTCAGTCCCCTGTGCTCCTCCCTCCCTCCCTCTGCTCCCTCTCCCTCCTCCTCCCCTGCAGGATGTCTCTGATTTATAATTGTCTGTTTTTGCTTTGCTGTGTTTTGTACTGTTATTATTGTTTACACTGATGTCTTATTTGGTTCCCCTATATTCCTGCTATAAGTGAAACCATCCGATATTTTTCTTTTTCCTTCTGGCTGATTTCACTGAGCATAATCCCTTCTAGCTCCACCCACGTTGCTGAAATCCAGATTATTCTTTCATAGATTCTGTTATATCTAAAAAGGTATCACCGTACCCAAAGTCATCTGGGTTTTCTCCTGTTATCTTCTAGGAGTTTACAGTTTGTATGTTACTATTAGGTTCATGATCCATTTTGAGTTTTGTGAAGGCATAAGTTCTGTCACTGAATTCCTTCCTCACTCCCACCCTCCCTCCCTTTCTTTTTTTCTGCATGCTGATAACCAGTTCTAACACCATTTGTTGAAGAGTTTATTTTTGCCTTATTTATTGCCTTTGTTCCTTTGTCAAGTGGACTATATTTATGTGAGTCTAGTTCTGGGCTCTTTATTCTGTCCATTGATCTGTTCTGCCAATACCACACTCTTGCTTATGGTGGGTTTATAGTAAGTCTTGAAGTAAGATAGCATCAGTCCTCCAATTTTGTTCCTCTCCTTCAAATTGTGTTTGTTCCTCTCCTTCAAATTTGTGTCTCCTTCAAATTGTGTTTGACTGGTGGAAATGCAAAATGGTACTGCCACTTTGGAAGACAGTGTGGTTATCTCTTACATAACTAAACAATTAGCAAGAGTAGCAATCAAATTCCTCAGTATTTACCCAAAAAGAGTTCAAATATTTATGCGCATGCAAACCTGGATGTTCGCAATGGATCTATTCAGTTGCCAAAACTTGGAAATAACCAAGATGTACTCCAGTAGGTGAATGGATAAACTAGGACACTCGGACAGTATATTATTATTAAGTGCTAAAAAGAAAAGAGGTATGAAAAGAGAGGAAGTAAGAAACGCCAATCTTAGAAGGCAACATACCACATGATTCCGACTGTAAGACATTCTGGAAAGAGCAAAATCAGGAAGACAGTGAAAACTTCAGCAGTTCAGTGTTCATTTTTAAACAATATTTGCTTCCCCCCACCCCCTCAGGTGTAGTCCCCATAGAGTTTCCTTCCTCAAGGCACCCGTGCACCATCACCTCAGTCCCCTGTGCTCCTCCCTCCCTCCCTCTGCTCCCTCTCCCTCCTCCTCCCCTGCAGGATGTCTCTGATTTATAATTGTCTGTTTTTGCTTTGCTGTGTTTTGTACTGTTATTATTGTTTACACTGATGTCTTATTTGGTTCCCCTATATTCCTGCTATAAGTGAAACCATCCGATATTTTTCTTTTTCCTTCTGGCTGATTTCACTGAGCATAATCCCTTCTAGCTCCACCCACGTTGCTGAAATCCAGATTATTCTTTCATAGATTCTGTTATATCTAAAAAGGTATCACCGTACCCAAAGTCATCTGGGTTTTCTCCTGTTATCTTCTAGGAGTTTACAGTTTGTATGTTACTATTAGGTTCATGATCCATTTTGAGTTTTGTGAAGGCATAAGTTCTGTCACTGAATTCCTTCCTCACTCCCACCCTCCCTCCCTTTCTTTTTTTCTGCATGCTGATAACCAGTTCTAACACCATTTGTTGAAGAGTTTATTTTTGCCTTATTTATTGCCTTTGTTCCTTTGTCAAGTGGACTATATTTATGTGAGTCTAGTTCTGGGCTCTTTATTCTGTCCATTGATCTGTTCTGCCAATACCACACTCTTGCTTATGGTGGGTTTATAGTAAGTCTTGAAGTAAGATAGCATCAGTCCTCCAATTTTGTTCCTCTCCTTCAAATTGTGTTTGCTATTCTGGGTCTACCTTTTCATAGAAACTTTGGAATCAGTTTGTCAATATTTATGAAATAACTAGGTAAGATTTTGGGCTTACATTGAGATCTATAGATTAAAAGGTTATACTTTTAAGTCATGTGTATGCTCTACCTTTAAATTAAAGATAAAAGCTTTCATTTGAATTATTCATAAAAATAAGAATGTGGGTAAAATCAGTGACTGAATAAAATAAATCATTAGTCTGGTGATATTTTTTTCTTACTCCAAGAAGGATTTGCATTCCCAACAATAATAAATACTTCTAACAGTTGAGTAGCTTTACTACACAGAGATCATCATTTATTTTTTCACTTTTTTGAGATACAAGTGACATATAGCACAGTGTCAAGTTTAAGGTTTAGAGTACAGTAAGTTTAGTTAACATTTATCTTACATAAATACAAAAAAAGAAAGAAAAATTATTTAAGAACTCTTAAGGCCTGTTTTCTTAGCAATTTTCAAATGTAACATATAGTAGGGGTAGCTATATTCATCTTGTTATAACTTACATCCTTGGTACTTTATCTTATAGTTGCATGTTTATACCTTTTCACAATTTTCATGTAATCTTCCCTGGTCTATCCCCAAACTTCAGCATCCGATGGATTATGTTATGTTATGGATATGGCATAATTAACTAGTGCTGTAATGGATAGGACTTAACTCCAGTCTTTTGCTGTTACAGACAGTTCTGCTATGAATTACCCTACATGTTCACATGGAGTGGGATTCATGGCCTAAATTTCTAGCACTAGAACTGCTGGATCAAAGGATATATGCATTTGTAAAATTCATAGATAGTGAGGCACCAGTTTACACTGGTACTAAGGCACAAGCGATTGCTTGCTTTCAGATAACACATTACATTTTCCTATTTGTTCAAGACTTTATTTGTTCTTTCATGGTTTTCTTTATATAGGCCATGTGCATTTCTTGTAGAGTTCATCTCTTCTCAGGTGTTTCAGTTCTTTTGCTTGCTTTTAGAAATGAGGAATTTTTTGCCAATATAGCCTCCAGTTATTTTTTATTGTGTGTTTGAAAGTTCTTCTCTTTATTAACTTTGTATTTTTTTGGTAATAGGTTTTTAAGTGGTTCTTAGTTTTTCAGTTGATAATAACAATTGCAAATAGTGGGTTTTTTTTTTCAATTTTTATGATTCTAGTTTTTCCTTTTTGTCCAATTACAAGATTCAAAGATAATGTGATGAGATAAAGGCCATTTGGTATTGCCTCACAATTTTTTTTCTGGTTAAGGAACTACCCGTCTATTTTAATTTTATCTTTTATAATAAGTAAAGTCATTTGTCAAATGTTTCTGGTGTCTATGAAAATGATCAAGTGATTTTTTTCCCTTAAATCTATTCATGTAATTTATTGTACTTCATTACCTAATGTCAAATCATTCTAGTGGTTGAGTTGGTAACTACACTTA